TCCAGGGCAGTCTTGGAGGCCCATCTTGGGCGTCTGAAAGGCCTCCTGTGCCGTCTTGAGGGCCTCTTGGGCCGTTCTGGGGCCATCTTGGAGGTATTTTGGGCGATCTTTCGGCGATATTCGGGGGCTCTTGGGCCGTCTCGGGTCGTCTCTTCGGGCTCTCTGGAAGCAGCTGTCAAAATCCGTCAAACAACCTTAAAATCAAGGTTTTGGGCATCTTATGGCCTTCCTGGAGGCCCTCTTGGGGGCCTCTTGGGCTGTCTCGGGCCAGCTTCGAGCCAACTTCGGCCATCTTGGCGGGTTCCTGGCACGTCTGACTCCGTCGGGGCCGTTTTGGGGGCCTTTCTGGGCCGACTTGTGGCCTTCTTGGGGCGTTTCGGGGCCGTTTTGGAGGCCATCTTGGGCGTCTTGGAGGCCATCTTTGTGTTGGAGGCCTCTTGGGGCCCTCTTGGGGCCGTCTTGGAGGCCACTTGGGCCGTCATGGGGCCCTTTGGGGGGCCTCTTTGGCGATCTTGGGGGCCTCTTGGGCCGTCATGGGCCGTCGGAAAGCCGGAAAGGCGCAAATGCCAAAGTCCTCCAAAGACCGAAAGCAAATCAATGATTTTGGCCCTTTCGGGCCTTCCTGGAGGACGTATTGGAGGGCTCTTGGGCCGTCTTGGAGGCCTCTTGCGGGCCTGTTGGGCCGTCGTAGACTATCTTGAGGCCGTCTTGGGCCGTTGGGTTGTGGGCCATCGGCCTCTGGGATGTTCATTGGGAGGTCGCGGGAGGCCTCTTGGGGGCCGTCTTGAAGCTTCTTTGGGGTCGTTGTGGGGGGGGCTTCTTGGGGCGCATTGGAGGCCTCTTTGGGGGTCTTTTGGAGCATCTTGGGGGCTTCCTGAGGGCCTCTCGGGGTGGGATTATCTGATTTTCGGTTTGTGTTTCCGTTTTGGGGCCCTTCTTGGAGGCGTCTTGGGCCGTCTTGGGCCATCTCGGGCGCCTTTCGCTTTGGCATCCTGGGGCGGTCTCGGGGGGCCTCTTGGGCTGTCTTGAAGGGCCGGAAGCTCGAAACCCCAGATCATCCGCGACCGCCCAAAGCCGGTAGCGAGGTAGCAGAGCCGGTCGTTACTGGAATATTGGAATCTAGGGATTGATTCCGGTATCAGGAGTTACGCGTGCACGGTTGAATCGGCGTGCAAATTCCGGCAATTCGTTACTGGATTCGCGTTCAGCGATACTGGATTTCGGCGTCTCGTCGCTACCGAAATCCTACGCTGTCATTGCCAAAATTTGGCAACAGGAATGCCGAAATCCGCGCCTGGTTGTTACCGAATGCCGCGTTCGACGATACCGAATTCTGCGTCGCAATCGATACCGAAATTCGGGTTGCCAATACCGAAATTCAGAGAACATGAGCAGGGGCGTTTTTCAATTACTTCGAGATGGCGTCAAAACCGGGATCCGGTCGCGACCTGAAACCGACAACCCAGAAATCCGTTACCGAGTGAAGCCGGTCCCAGATGATCTGGGACGTCGAGGACCCTAAAAACATTGACAAGCGCAAAGCAAGCACGCGATTGTTGCCTCTCGGGGCTCTTTTGGGAAGGTTCTTGGTGTTTTCTGGGGGCGCCTCGAAGGCCTATTGGGCCGTCTTGGAGGCCATCTTTGGCGTCTTGTGCAGATTGTTCTGCAATTCGGGGCCCTCTGAGACCGTTTGGGCGGCTTTTGGGTGACCCGTTGACCTATTCAGGCGCCCTCTGGGCCCCATAAAAATCTCGCGGGAACACGCGACGCGGCCCAGGGGGCACGCCAGGAATTCCAAGAGATTCTACAGGGTTGCGCCACATCCGCCGACCCCTTGCGTTAAATTTTGTCTTGGGGCATTTGCGCGCCGCGAGGTTTTATATAGAATGCGAAATTGGGCGGAGGCGCTTGCACTCAAAATGAACATCCGAGTGTTTGTGTCGTTTCGGGCGTCCTGTGCATTTCTGGGTGTGGAGTCTCCGTGTCCCCCTCTCCTGTTTCTTGCCGTTTTAGCATGAGTTTGGTATCTGGTGCTCCTGTGCAGGCTTGACCCGCGTGGATGTATGCACCCTTACACGGTGTATACCTGTCGACATGTTGAATTGGGGTTTTGCGGGGGGATTGCGAGGGAAGGGCGATCTCCTCACATCCCCTGAATACCCACCGGGGGGTCGGCGGCATGTTTGTGCAGCTTTCCACCCTGTGACTCGAGTGCTGGATCCGCTGTATATATACATACATGTATACAGGTGCATAAATATACACACACGCATACATTGCCATAGATGCATACACATATGTACAATCAGGTATGCATATATGTGTAGCTATATATAGCTGCATGTAGTTGCGAACGCACAAGCATGTGTGTATATATGTATACGCACGTGCGTATGCAGGGGCTGCGGGCTCGCCGTCCTTGTGTGGGTGGTAGATTTGTCCTTGAGTTTTATTTTGTGCGCTGTCTCGTGGTGCGTGCGTCCGTCGTGCACGCGTGTCAGGCACCCCGCTTCAGGGGGAAGGTACATGCACATCTAGGGTGCGCCGCTTCCTCTCTCCGAGCACGGGGGTGGCCCCATCCCGACTGTGGCTCGGGTTTAGATGTTGCCGCGGCCAGGAGCCTGGGGCTCTTGGCCCCAACATCTCTCTTCGTTTGCGCTGGCGGGCGTTTCGTGCGTTTGCGTGTTCGCTGGCCCCGCTTTCTCGGCTCTCCGCCGCTGGGGGCTGTCTCGGCTCTCCTGGCGGGGCGCTGTCTTGACCGTTGTTCCTCTTGCACAGCCGAGGGCAGTCGGTCCGAGATGTCTTTCTCTTTGCAGGACATCTGTTTTTGGTTTTGTCGTTGCGCTTGCAGCTCGGCGTCAGTTTTGTTGCCCTGTGTGCCTGCCCCTCTCTTAGGGATGTTGCGGCAGGTGCACATTGTGCTGGCACGTCAGGACGCAGGGACCCTTTCGGTCTCTCGAGCTGGTTTCACTTGCGCTGATGACTCAGGCTTGGTCTGTGTCAGGGAGCCAGCATCCCCCTCCGCTGCTGGCTCTGACCCTCGATTGTTTCGAGGATGTGGAGGTGTGACGTGGCTGTCAAAAAAATACATCGCACATGCAGGTTCACAGGCGCAACTCGATACAGATATTCACACACACATACAGACATACAGACATACAGCCATACATGCACACGTACGTACGTACATACATACAAATATACCTGCCTACAGACATACACACATGCATGCATGCGTGCATGTATACATTCACGCAACCATGCGCCCACCCATACGTACGTACAAACATACGCACACACATACATACATACCTAATCACATGCATACACACATACATACATACATACATACACACGCACGTACGTAATTACATACACACATGATACGCGCAACCAGTCACACGTACACATGTACGTACAGACATAATTACGTACATGCATTCGTTCACACATATGTACATACTTACATACATACATAACCATATGCATGCATTCGTACATACATACATACTTACGTACAAACATATAGACGTACTCAAATACATACTTGCACACACATACGCACATAACTACATGACCTGCATGCAATTCCGAGGAGGAGGCGGAGGAGGAGGATGAGGAAGCGGACGAAAAACGAAACATCACTAACATAAAACACGATAACACGACAGATGAAAACGACCAGGATACATGATTATGAAGTATCGAAAAGGAGGAGGAGGAGGAGGAGGAGGGAATGGGGAGGGAGAGCAGGAGCATGAGCAGGAGCGCGGAGAGGAGGAGGACGAGGAGGACGAGGGCAAGTTGAGGAGGAGGGAAAGGACGATGACGAGGGATGGAGAAGAGGGAGGGTGCCGAGGCGGATGGAGGCTCTGCGACGCCCACATGCAGCGGACTTCGTAATGCCGCCCTTCAGGCGAGCGAAAGCGAGAGCCTTAAAACGTGACGCAGCTGTGACTAGAACCTCAGCGCGCGCGAAGCGCGCGCGTGGTTCTACAAGAGGTGTGCCGAAATTGGCGGGGGGGCGGGATGCGAACCTTTTCTCTGGGACCGTCGGTGGAACGGGCCGCGATCCGTGTGAGAGGTGTGCCGACGTGAGCTGGGCGACGCATGAAGTTTCCCTATGGTGCCACAAATACAGTTAGTTGCGGGCCACGATTCGCCTGAGAGGCGTGCCATGCTGCGAAATTGTTTTGGGGGACGTAGGTCGAGCTCCTTGTTGGGCGCGATCTCTGTGAATGGTGTGCGGACGTGGGCGGGGGGGCGCTAAGCCAAGTCTGTCTCTGGGGCCGCAGGTGCAGCTCCCTGAGAGACACGACATGTGTGACAATATATGTCTTCCGATGTCCAGCACATCCGATTACACCTAAAGCGTGCTAGAACCCTTGCGCGCGCAGTGCGCGCGTGGTTCTAGTGTATATGGCCTTCGGCCCAACCTGCCACCGTGCCTGGGTTGTGGGCTGTAGTCGTCTAGGATGTTCGTTAGGAGGTCGCGGGGGGCGTCTCGGGGGCCTCTTGAGGGCAGTTTTGAAGCTTCGTGGGGGCCGTTTTGGGGCTTTTGGGGGGGGTCATCGGGGCCTCTTCGGGGTCTATTGTTACCTTTTTGGGGCCTCCTTCGGGCCTCCTGGGGCTTGTTGCTGCGAAAAGTTTAGGTTCGTGCTCCCCTCTTTGGGATCTTTTTGGGGCTATGTTTGGGCCCTCGAAGGCCGCACTCGGCACCTCTAGGGCCGTTGTGGGGCCCTCCTGGGCCATGTTCAGGCCTTCCTGGGGGCCTTTTGAGCCGTCATGGGGCGGTTTTGGGGGTGCCTTCCGGGTACGGTGGTATCTAGACATATATATATATATACATATATATATATATGTGTATAGACACACATACAACTATTCCAACAGTCATTGAGGTTGCTTTGCGTCGCGAGTCCTGGCCAGGTCTGACCGTCTGCTTGCATAGGTAATTGCCTGGGTTCAAGATTTGCCTTTTGCAAGGAGTCATTCGGCATATGCTGGAGTGGGCCCTGTCCTGGACTTCTGTGGCCCACTTCACATACACCGTGGCGCGCGACGCGGTGATCCCGACCAGGTGCGAGAGCGTTTGGCCGTCTCTCCCGGCGGCAGCGGACGTTTGTGAGCGGGTGCTCGAGATCTCGAGGGAGGCGGTGGGACTCCCAGTGGTGTGTCCAGCGGCGCCAAGTTACAGTTGCCCTGCGCCAAAGATTTGCCCGGGCTGCTCGAGTGGATCATCTTTCTTTGAGGGCCCTGCCGGATGGCGGGCGGTCGCTTTCTCTCGATATATCCCTGGGCCTGAGCTGGGCGTGCTTCGTCGGGGGCATCGTGGTCGGCCGCAGGACGGCTGTCAGGAGGGTGACGAGTGCTGGTCGCATCTCGGCCTTGCAGGGACCATCGTCCCGTGAGGAGTTCGAGGCATGGCGGCGGTCAATTGGACTTGATGGGCTGCAGAATCTTCTTTCGCTACGAGGATGATGGCGGAGGGTTCCATTACCATCGCCGCGTGCTGTCCCATCGTCGGGGTCACGGACGGGGACGTCTACGAGGAGGAGTGCAATGGGGTGGAGGTCCAGCCGCTCGCGAGGAACGGAGTCTTCACGGTGGAGCTGGCCGGGATGCCGCACACGTTCAGGGGCCTCAGCGCGCCAACGCCTGGATCGTCACGATGCGGGGGCAGCCCCGCGGGATCGCTGAGATCTTTGGGGTCGCCGAGGTGCATGGTGTCCCTGGTGCTGCAGGCTCGTACTGGCGCGTAGCTGACCCGCCGTCAGACTCGTTCGACAGACTCGCCACGGCGGCGGAGCTTACATACTCAACGCAGGATCGCGACGACGGGGTGAAGGTGGCGAGGTCCCCGTTGCTGAACGGGGTGACGGAGCTCGAGGATCTCGTGAAGAAGGGCTCCGACGAGGACGAGTGGCTTGCTCGGAAGTGTCCTGGCCTTGCTGGCGGTGCCTCTGGAGACCTTCGGCTTCTTGGTCATTTCCAGAACTCGGCCAAGAAGAGGGCTCCCACGCTGCAGAGGGCCATGGAGATCGCGACGCCGAAGGCCTCTGCGGACTGGCCGCGTCCAGGGCCCAAGGCGACGCGGGTGTTCCTCGCGTCTGTCTTCGAGAATGGCGGCGAGTTGCAGGTGTGGCTCAACGCGTTCATGAGGAAGTCCGGGGGCGGCGAGAACGCGTCGGTGGCGCATGAGCATTGCAACCTCGTTCAGATCGCGAGGCCTCTGCGGGATCGCCCATGACCAAGTGGACCCTGCCAATCTCGACTTCGCCGAGCAGGCGGTGCGGGGGGTCCACGAAATTCAGGAGACCATCGGAAGGAACCCGAAGCACCTCGTCTTCAGTGGCCCAGACATCGGCACGATCGGCTCGAGCAACGAGATCCGCGGCGCCCGCCGGCGTGGCTGCACTCAGCGGCTCAGCGGGGATCAGCAGGAGAAGGCCAAGGCGACGGAGGCGCGGCGGAAGCGGCGCGGGGGGCAGGCGGCAGAACGTCGCCGCACCGCCGACCGCGATCCTCTACCGAAGGCCAATGGTGAAGCGATGGCCTTTCCCGCCGGCTGGCAGGCGGGGCATGGGCGACGCCTCGCAGGAGGTTGGGGGGGCGAGGGGGAGGCGCCCCCCTGCCGCGCCTCCCGAGTGTTGAGCGGGGAGTTCTTGTCCAGAGGAAGTGGGCCCCAGCGTGGGGGCCCGCTCCCGCTGCCGGTTTCACGAGCGGCCCCGCCTGGCGATCGCGCGCCCCCATCCGCGCCGCCCGCCGCCCACGCTCAATGCGCGTCGGGGCCGTCAGCTCCGCGCGGCCGAGGCGGCGCGCAGCCTGAATGCCCTGGCTGTGTCGATGCCGTCTTCGATCCGCGCCGTGGGCGCTTGGTTTGGGACTTCGCCCGCGTCGACGCCATGTCCGCTGCGGCGGGCCGCTCGCGCGACTTCGCGGCCAGCTTCGGGCCGGCGCCGACGGCGATGGCAGCGCGAGGGGCTTTCGGGGGGGCCCTGAAGGCGAATGACGCACTGCGTCGGCGAGAAGAACCTCGCCCCGCATCGGCCCGATCTTCTGAAGTTCGCACAAGGCACGGCGGCGCCGACGCCCGCCGTCGACTGGCCGCCGCTCGAAGAGGCGGCTTTCTCGCCAGATCCCGGGAAGCACCTCGCCCGCTGGCCGCCCGGGATCGATGCCTGGGACGAGGGGCACCCCGCATTCAGGCCCTGCGGGCCGCTCGCTACGCCGCGAGCGCGGAGCCCGTCTGGACAATGAAGGGCCCCCTGGGGTTCAGGGCCCGCGTCAATCAAGGCGAAGGTCGGGATCTTGTCCGCGCGGAAGTCGCTGCGTCGCAGGACTCGGCTGATTGTCGACACCTTGGCGCCCGACTGTCATCGCCGACCGCCTCCCATGGCCAAGCGCGGGGGGGCGGGGGCCCCGGCGCAGCTCAACGGCTGGCAAGACCAGGGCGGGCTGGCCGCCCTCGGCCAGGGGCGCGGACCACTCGCGGGGGTGCCCGCGCTGTCCGCCCAGGTCGGCGACGTCGAGGGCGCGTGCTGCGATTTCTCTGTCGAGTCGATGGCGGAGTGGTTCGGCCTCGATGAACCCACAGTTTGGCCCCCGGCAGATCTTCGACAACTATCTTTGGCGCCCCGCCCGGCCAGGCCCTCTGGAAAGGTGTTCCCCGTCTCCTTTGGGCCGGCGCTGGGCCTTGCAATTATGCGCTGGTTCGGTCAAACACTTCGCCTCCGCGGCGATCGGGGGGGCGATCGTTCGGCGCGAGAAGGGATGCCGGCCCCAGGCCTGCGAGCTGAGTCAGTCACCTGCGCGCGCGCAGACAACCTCGCCGCCCTCGGGCCCCCCACTCAGACGCGGTCGCCGACTGCGCGGGGATCAGGAAGGAGCTCGAAGAGGCCGGCTTCGCGCTGCACGAGGAGGGCGGCGACGAGATGCTAGTCGAGAGCGCGGGCATCGCGATGGACAGGCGGAGGCGCGGCATCCGTCGCAAGGGTGGGCGAGCTGGGCTGCCGCACCTCGGAAAGCATTTGTCGTTCCTCAAGTTGCGCTGGGTGACGGGCGTCGCGGTGCGCGTCGTGCTCGGGCGTTGCATTCTCTACCTGGCACTCCTAGGGGCCAGCGATGTCAGTTTTTAACCGCGCCTATCTTTGCGGTTCTGGTGCCCTCGGGCGCTCGTCCGAAATCCGTGGCAGGGTCGAGCGAGAGTTCAGAGCGCTGGCTGGACTTGTTCTCCTGTCCGAGGCTCGACTGTCAGCGCCCCCCTCAGAGCGAGCCTGCTGCGGGGGTGCGTCGGGGAAGGGGCGCGCCGTCACGGGCGCCCCAATTGGCCCGGAGGGGCCCCGTAGCTTCGGCACGGGGAAGTGGCCCCGGCGGTTCGTGGAGGTGGATGGGGGTTCGCGGGGGCCTCTTGAGAGCTCCAGGGGCCCTGCCGCACCCGTATGCTGGGTGGTCTGCTGAAGTCGAGGTGCTCGACGCAAGTTGCTCCGCGGTGGCTTCTGGAGTCTGATGGGCCCCTAGCTCTGTCCAGGTTTCTGGCGTCTGGCGCGGGGCGCCCGAGATCCCGCGAGCGTCAAGGCGCAGAGCGGAGACAGTGCAAGGGGGGCCGCTGGCATGGCACCCGCCCTTCCCGGCGACGTCGTCGACCCCGGTCGTCTGCGCGCTCTTCTCGAGGGGGCGTGGATAAGAGGCGAGGCCATCCACGTGAAGGAGGGGGGTGGTTTTGGTGGCTCGTCGAAGGGATTCTTCCGGTCGGCAAGGACGTGGTCGGCGGCTATTGGCTCTCTCTGACAAGCTTCCATCGCCGTGCTGCGTCGAGAAGGGTCGGGCGAAAAAAGGCTTCGGCCTGCGCGCTTGTCTCGGAGGTGCACCGCCTGCCCCGTTGGCCGCGGCGTCGACCTCCAATCGCGATGCATGGAATCCAGATGAAGCCCGACAGATGAAGGATCCATGTGATTCGACGACGGCAGAAGGACGAACGATGCCACTTGCTCTCGAGGCCACTCGCGCCTCACTGCCTCGACTTCTTTTTCTCGCGAGTTCCGGGTCGGATTGCCAAGGGCCCGGGCCCGCCCCCAACTTCAGGGATCAGTTCCCGACGCAGACTATTCTCTCAGCCCGACGCAAGACGGGTCAACCAGCCGCTTCGACTTCCCCCATCATCGCGCATCGCCCCCGCCTTCATCGAGACGCTTCGCGCCAGAATTTATGGGGCTGCGCTCGGGATGCGGTGCTTTGACGTCGGGGCTTGCGGAGGCGGGCCTCAGGGCGGCCGCGCCGTTTGATTTCCAGGAGGGGCCGGATTTCGACCCCGCGAAGCGCAGGTCTCAGGGCGCGGTGGCCAAGTGGATCCAGACGGGTCGGATATGGCATCTACATATCTGGGGCCACCTGTACACCCTGGAGCATTGCGCATAAGTGGTGGCCCTCGTAGGCCTCTGTGAGGGTCTCTCGGGGGCACGTTCGGTTCGCTGCTAAGCTGATCCGACTTTGCGCTGAAGCGACGACTTTCCCTTCTCTCGAGAAACCCGAGACCTCGCCCCTGTCTCGCCAGCGTGAGATCGAGGATGCCTCGGACTATGCGGGCGCTTTTTCTGTCGAGCGTCATTGCTTCGGATTTTGATGCTCTTACAAGAAGCCGACTTTGCCAGCGACTAACTGCGACGCTTCATCGCGCCTTGGGCTGACATGCGAGTGCCCAGGGCCTTGCGGGATCCCCCAGGGGAAGTGGGGCTGCCAGCTCAAGGCGGCAGGTCAAAGTGGAAGCGGGGGACCAGTCTCGCAGCCGCCCACTCGCCTGCGCCGCGCCTGGGCGGCCCCGCGAGGGGCGCGGCGCGCCCCCGGCAGGCCCCCGGCAAGCGGGCCTTCGAGAAGACGCTCGGGCCGGCGCCCAGCGCCCGGACTCCGAGCTCAAGGGCCTCCCGCGCTGCTGGGCCTCGCCCTTGGCCGGGGCGACGCCCCCGCGGGCGCGGGCCCGACCGGCCGTCGCCTGGGCGCAGCGGGTGGGCGATGAGAGTGGTCTGCGTTTTTAGCGAACCCGCGCCATTCGGTCTGCTGGAGACCGGCGGGCCTACGCCGAGGGCATTGATAGGTCATCGCTTTCGCTAGCCGCGGCGGGCTTGCCCATGGCGCGCGAGGCCCTCGAGCGCCGCGTGGAGCAGTTGCATCTGGGCGGGCAGCCGCGGTCTGCAGCGCGCCCCGCCATGCGCGGCCACGCCTGGCGCCGCCCTGAGATACTTCGCAAGGACTGGAGGTTCTATGTCAGAAGCCGCGCGGCGCTGGCTGAGAGGCGGGACCTCGAGCCGGGCGGGGCGCGCGACCTTTGCCACCGGGAGCTGGCCTGCTAGATCGCCGACGACATGCTCCAGTGCTTCCCCCCTTTCTAGGCGTCCTGTGATTCGACTTCTACATGCGGCTGGGCGCGGGCCGCTCACTCCGCCGCTCGAACGCCAGGCCGCCGGCGCCCGAGGTTCACGCGCGCCGCGACCGTTGGTGCAGGCTTTCGCTTTCCGAGCCAAGCAAACCCTCGAAGACGGGTGCTTACGACTACAGCGATGGGTGGCCAGGGCGATTGCGCTCGATCGTCTTTCCGCAGCTCGCTGGCGAGCACTTCCTGTTCCTCTTCGGCCTCAAGCACGTCGAGAAGTACTTCGGGGATTCGGCTGCAACCCCTTGCGTTGGTACCTCCGTCAGATCCCGCATTGCTTGCGCCGCGACGGACCCGCTACTGGCGTGCGCGCCAAATCACACACACACACACACACACACACACACACACACACACACACACACACACTTGAGGAGGTGCGACGCCAGGGAAATTGGCTGACCATCTCGGTGCATCACGAGATGGGGAACATGCCCGTCTTCACGCTGTTTTGCAGCGGCTGCCGCCTGAACAGCAGCGCGAGGCGGCCGCTGCTACTCACCTCCCAAATAAGCTGTTCCGTGCCCTCTCTCAGCCAGGCCTTTGGACTCCTGCAAGGCATCTTGCAACTGCTTCTCGAGAACTTTTTGAGGGTCGCACGTGCTCGAACCCTTCGGGCCTCGATCCTGTCGATGGCACGCGTTTTCGTACGAACCGATTTGTTTCAGATCGAGTCGCGGCGTGTAGCCTAGAGACTGATGTAATATTGAGCTCTGTCTGCGTTTCAGTCTGTGGGTCAGAATGTAGTTCCCTTGGCCACGGAGTTGACGGGTTGTTCGTATGTCAACAGTCATTGAGGTTTCTTCGCTTTTCGTGTCGTGGCCAAGTCTGGCCGTCTGGTTGCATTTGCCAGCATTTGGGCTCAAGCTTTGTCTGCTCCACATGCGTCCCCTCCTCCTCCCTTTCGCGTCGAGATTCCTGGACGTGTTCTTCTTACACTTGAGAATGTTTTGACGGTCGCACGCTCTCGAACTTGAGGACGGCGATCCTGGCAATGGCAAGTGTGCTCGCGCGAATGCACTGCTCTGATCGAATCGTGGCGTGTAGCCTGCGGTCCCAGGGATAAAGTGGGACCAGTGTCATCATGAGCTCTGCCTGCGTCCCAGTCTGTGGGTCAAGATGTAGTTCCCTTGCCCACGGAGTTAAGGGTTGCTGACCTATCTATATATACAGGATCACCGTATGTTGTACCATGTGGTCGTATATGTTAAGGCACTTTGTTCTAGCACAGCACACCACGCACTAGCGCATTTTACCATTGCAGAATAATGCTCATGGCTGCTATCTTCTACCACATCAAGTTTAACAACTCTGGTAGTGTATGTGGTATCAGCTTAGACTGCACAAGGAATCCCCATTTCTATTTCGTTATAGCACATCATACTTCAATATCGCATGCGATATTTCACCGTTACGTACTGCATCATGCCGCAACGCCGTTTAATACATTGCTTTTGTGTGATTATAGACCATATGATATCACAATGTCGTGTAGTGTAGTGTGTTAGTTTGCACACGTGCATGTCATCATGGAGTGCATCTCGTATACTATAATGTACGGTTGTGGTGTGCCATCTGCATGTACGCATGCTTGTGTGCATATATATATATATAGACGTCACCACTATGGGTACATTATGCAACCAAGCTTCGCCATTTCAAAGTCAAACACTGCCTTCTGCCGATGACACAGCGATGCGCTGTGGTCAACATTCCGAGGCGTATGCGGCTGTGGCCACGGGAAACTTCCCGGAGGCCCAAACGGGGGCCCAGGGGCGTCCAAGAATTGTGATTTTGGATCTTTGGTCGTGGCCTAACCCCCCCCCCCCCGCGGACCCCCGATGTATTGTTTTTGTTCCACCCGTGGGCCCCAGAGGTTCCCATTCATTTCCCAGGTGTAGTCCATCGTCATGGTCCTGGGTCTGGAAACGGCCCTTGTGAGATCGACATGAAGGAACAAAGGTCGGATTTAAAATTGCAGTCCGCCGGCAGTCTGTAATCGCCGCTCCCCTCTCATCCCTACGGCTTGCGAAGAGGCGACTTCCACGCCGTGCCTTTCGGGCTTTCCACCGAGCCCGAATTCTCAGTCGGCGAGCTGACCGAAAACCACGACAGCTTTGTGCTCATGGCATCAGACGGAGCGCGGGCGGGGGCGGCAAGATTCGCTCAGAAATTGAGATTCGCGTGTATTCGAACATCGAGGATCGATGTTGGCGATTGTCGTTCCTTTTCCGCCTCGGGTAGGCTCCCTGTCGCCACGGTTGGATCCGCCTCGAAATTATGGTCGGAGCGCGCCCCCGGTCAGGTTTTGGGGTAGAGTTTTGACGCCACTCGCGTCGAGAAGTAATCACGACGGACGGTTTTTCTGCAGATTTCGTCACCTGGTGGCCCTGACAAATCTCTAGGACCGTCCGTCAACAGACGAGTCAGGATGAAGAAATTGTCCCGGGAAAGGGCTCCTGACCCCACCGGGATTCACGTTGCGACGAAGCGCTACGTCGATCGGGGGTCTGAGCCCAGGACGAGGAGGGGAATGAGACGCGGGGGAGGAGGCGGTCGCTGGGGCCAAGATGGCCCCATGGCCGAAGAGGGCGCCTCCAGGAGCGCTAGGTGGTTGGGGCAACACTTTCGGCTCCGATGTGGCTCGATGTTAGTCGGCTTTGGAAAGCACCGTTGAGGCTACGTCGGTCCCAGAGGTCGACTACAAATCCATCCTGTGTGTCCCTGAAGCAGACAACCCATCCAATCGGCAACCATGACATGACGCATGCCTCTGTGCGAGTGGCGCTGCCTCTACACGTGCGCTTGTGCTGCGCGAGCCACCCTTTTCGCGTTGCTAGGCAACGGCGGATATTGCGCAGTCGAGAAGTGGGCTGGGTAAATCTCGAAAGAGAAGAAGGGGGTTGGGAAGGGCCAGTCCGCTAAGCCACCATTACGCCCAGAGATATGGTGCAAATCCAAGATGTAAGTAGCGCCGTACGACTGATGAGGTCGCATGCGAGAGTCACATACTGAAAATGGCCTGCTCTCCTTCCGTGGCACTGTCGATCATTCCAGTTTAAGATGCAGCACGATGCAGTGAAGAAGTATTTGAGGCGGGAGCCAGAATTCAAGAACGTCCCCGCCATACCTCTGGAAGGCTTTACCCTTGCATAACAAACTCTAAGACGGCCTGGCGTGAATGGCCAGGTCCGTCCGCCAATTTGTCTGGTGGTATCCATGAGGAAGAAGAGCGGACGAGGAGAAGGGGCGAGAAGGAGAGGAGGATAAGAAAGAGGAGGTTTAAGACAGAGCGATGAGATGGCCAGAGATGGATTTTCACCACACCGCGGCACGCACAGCCTGCCATTTCGAAGGTTTCGCGCCGCCAGCGGCGGCAGTCTGGGCCTCGCTCGAGGGCCCTGGCTTCCAGGGCACCCGAAACTTGAAAGCAGCGAGGGCCAGCTCCAGAAAAAACACCCCCACACCCCGTAACCTCGGTTCACACTGAAAGATTGGGATTTAGGAGGGTGGGACGCTTCAGCATAATCTGATGGGCGAGGGGGACACCGAAGACGGAGGAGACACTTTAGCAGCGGGCAGGCAGGCCGTGCGTCGGCGACGCCGTCACGTCTCAATCCGGCTCGTTCAAGGGCGCCGTGGCCTGGTAGCCGTGGGATCCGATGATCTTCATGTGCCTTTGCAGCCGTCGTATTGAACACGAGCTCGTCCTTCGGTATGTCTTGCACTCGCTCTGCAATCATAGTTGCGATCCCAAGGTCATCGATAGCTACGACTTGCTCATGGCAGGTCTTCACGCTCTCTCCTCTGTGGCGTCGTCCGAGCAGAATCGCAATTTTGATTAACCTCGGACCTGCTGGACCTCGATAACTCACATGCACGTCCTCCGCTCTCAGCTGACGCCAGTCCTGCCCTCGAAGATAGCAATCGTTTGCCAGCAAGAAGGCCATCCCTTCGTCCACGTGGCCTCGCTGAACTGCTTCCAGAGATATATAGTATAGTGCTTCCACTGAGGCCAGGCCCCCTTCCCACGTCTCCTGGTACTTCTCCCAGCTGTGCAACGCTCTCAGTGCAATCGTCATCTCCGACTTCCATTCTGGGTAGATGCGCATCAGGCCGTGGTACAGCATGGTGCCCTTGTTCAGGGGAGCCCTCTCCACGAAGCATCTGTTGTCCAGCTCGGCGGCCACCGTGATGTCCCGCTCGCCTGGACTGGAGAATGGAAGACGCTTCCTATGAACCTCGCGAAGGAAAGGCTCCACTTCCGTGATGTACTGCATGTTGGTGTCGTCCTGCACGCCATGGATCAGCAGCCTGAAAGGCCGCTCCAGCTTGTCGGGGGAGCTCCTGCTGACGGGCCTCTCGATGGCTGCGTTCTCGAAGGCTCGGGGACCTTTCTTCTTCATCGGGATGTTGGGTCGACGGCGAGCACTGTCTTGCTTCCTCGCACTGGAGGCCTTCTTCTTGATCGAGCCCTTTCTCTCCGACTTGATGGCCTCCACAGCTCCCACGACCAAGCTAGCCCCTGAAGGTAGGTCCAGGTCATCGTCATCGTTTTCCATGTCTTTTTCATGCCACTCATCTGCTTCGGCGTCTCGTGGTCCCTGGCTAGCGGCACTGGCAACGAACGTATCGCAGCATATCGTCGTGAAGCACATCAAACTTATAGATGCCAGGCCTGGGCATAATAGGCGTGCATGCCCTTTATCTCGATCTGGTCGCCCAGGAGTCTCTCGAACGGGTGCTCGGAATCCAGGACGACCTTCTTCTGCTCGGCCTTCGTCGTGGTGACCTCGGCGCTGCCTCGGCGCGGCCTTCCGCTGGTTTCATGTCTGTAGGTATCCACCTCAACGTCAGCCTTACGCCCGTTGCTAGGGTGATGGCGCCAATCTTCCTCAACTGCGTCATCAGCAGGCGGGATGAGCTCCTCATTTTTCTCACCGCGCCGACTGTCACCATCGAGTCGCACAGAACCAAAAATCGACGGAACCAGCACTTGGACGATCTGCACAGATGCCTCGCCACGGAGGTCACTGTCCGCACCTCCTGCACATTGATGTGGTCCTCGTATGCCCACACTCCTTTCCATGATAGGTGCCATCTCGATATCTCCGCCCAATGGTCCATGACTGCCTTCGGCCTCTCGGGGGGACTCCGAACTTCTCGGACTCTCCAGTCTTGGATGATCAGTTCCTTCGCGTCGATCGCCTGCCGCACCAGCTTCGCGTAGGCGCTGCAGAGACCGGGGGGGTACACCGCAGCAAGGCGCGTCCACAGCTGACCTTCGGAGTTCCGCCCTCGCAGTTCTTGATGTTGATGATCCCTCCGAAGCCAGGGAGCCCCCGAACCCAGCGGCCAGGGGCTCGGACGGCAGGCCGGCGCGCCCGAGAGAACGACGAGCACGGAGGCGCCGTGTGAATTAGGAAGAACAGCCCGCTCAGGATGGCTCGGCACACGACTTCGACGAAGGATGGGTCCATCAGGTCGTGCCGTGGGTCCCGAGCATTGTCCACGAACAGGGTCTCGCACTGGCACTCGCTCCGCACCTTCTCGCCGAAGCCGCCGTAGCCCGAGAACACGTCGGCCATCCAGCGCTGGGGCGGCACCTCGCTCTCGCCAGTCACTTGAAGGATACCATACCTCGCTTCAAGCACTCCAGCGCGTCGCCGCTCAGCATCTCCTCCTCTTCGTCCCTCGCCATGTCGCGCAGCTGCTGGAGAGAGGTTGAAGTAACAAATGAAAAGGTCCATGAGTGTTGCAATCAATTGCCAAAGAAATGCGGAAGGCAAATGGTGCGCTTCCTTTGGTTGTGGACGGGCGTATGGTGCCCATCCGAGAGGCCGATTGGTGCCTCATCCCAAGAAGAGGCCCATGACGGCCACGACTTGGGTGCGGGATGCCATTTGGTGGCCCCCCTGTGCCCACCCCGTCCCGCTCACAGGGTCTTCACATCCCCCGTATGGTGGTGGGATGGGTGAGCGGTCCGCCTCCCCCCGGGCCGCACGTACTGCCCGAGGTTCGTGGGGATTTGAATTGAAGGCTATGAAGAACCCCGTTCCCTCCCACTCCCTTCCCGTGGGGTGCAAAATCCCGACGACGCCCCCCACGGAAGACCCACCCCCCAGGGGAACGAAAAGGGTTGACTTCAACCACAGGGGGGTCACCTGTGACAATTATTGCCCGGGCAGACGGCTGTATCACCGCAGGCCGGAAATCCCAAATGCGCCGAACCTGCACTCCACGGACATTTCCGCCACTGCCTAGGAAAATCCATGCCCAAGTAACCTGGTGGCAGTTCCTGCGTCGCCACTGATTAGAACGACGCCCCAGGACGTCGACCAGGCGCTCGGAGCACCCCCCCCCCCACCCACCTAGCAGGATACGGGAAACGTGGTGGCACACTCGTCACCGATAGAACATCGTTAGAGAAAGCGGAGAGCGGGAAGGAGGGAACGGAGGAGGGAGGGGACAAAGGGAGGAGGGGGAGGAGGGGAGGAAAGAAGAAGACGAAGAGGGAGAGCACGCGCGGAGTAGGCAACAATTATATACCTCTGTCCAGAACCACAGCGACACAATGTACGGGCGCTAATCCCGGCACAATCCCTCAGATATCCACATCTCCAGCGCAAACAATGGGTAGCCAGCGCCCTCATGCAGGTGACGCTTGAAGGACGCAAGGACGCCCTCCACGGAGTCCAGCGGGCGTGTGTAAGCACGTACCCTGGAGACCGCCCCGAGCACGAGCCCACGCTTGATGGAGCTGGGGACGTAGCTATAGAAGGGCATGCAACCCGTGCCTGCCCCCAACGCCTTCGTGGACGGGCGGGTGCAGATCGCGCCGTCGAGCTGGGGCAACAGGTCACCCCCCACAAACGTGAAGCTAGTGTCGGCTTCCAGGGGAAGCGGGTAACGCAGCCAGGCAGAGCCCTCCAGGACAACGGAGATGTACTCGATCTCCCCGGAAGACAGAGACGGCGGCCTCTTCCACAGCATGATGTAATCGTCCATGTAACGCATCTCTAGAATCATGACGGTGGCGCACTTTAACGACCGGGGGCATACGCGACCTCGGGCGCCGAGTGGAGGGAGTGCTGGGCCATGCAGTGCGTAGTAATACTGCATGTCCAAAAACGTGAGG